GAATCCAGCAGATATACAACTCCTAACTCAAGACGTATGTATATATACACATTAGTCTTAACAATTAAGACAGATTGCTCAGTTTTATTGTCCATTTTTACTCTTCTCTGAGATACTTGTGGCTCAGTCTTGAAATAATAGTTCTGGTTAGTCTCCCTTCCGTTATCTTTAATATTCTAAAACAACAGAGTAAAAAGCAATTGCTCGTTTTGCTAATAATAGCATTAAGCTAAAGAAAATGGTTTCAGTAAAGTAAGGCTGCTTTTCTTCGGCACAACAATGGAAATGTCTGTCCAGAAACTGCCAGACTTAAAATGCTATGTTGTGATTCATTCAGGGTACTGAATAATGGATGTTTAATGCACCTAAGGGATTGACACACAGTTCTACGTGATACAGCAGACACCCCTTAAAAAGTGCACTTCACAGTCAAATGTTTTTGACTGGAAGGCTTCTTCTGGAACCTGTATGCTGTGAATCATCTTTTAGCTTCTGCACTGCGAGAAATCACAGATGTTAGCAACTGGTGTCTATGGTAGGTTCTAATGCACAGGCTGTATTACCTGGCAGAATATTAATATCTGCAATACCAAGGAAACTAAAAGGCCTATGCAGAGCAGAAGCTTTCTATCACGTGGTTTGTCTGGGAGTTTTCAGAAAAATAGAAACAAATGCCTTAACAATAACCAATGGTGTCTTTAAGTAATGATGAGATAGCATAGTGTTTCAGATGATTCTTACATTCACCTTGTGATTTGTCCATGTTCTAAATATTTTGCCAAAAAACAGGTGATGATTCACTTCTGACTCATTGCTACTGATCAGCAAACCCATTGCACCTTGGATGAGATCAAAGTTTTTCCATTTTCCTTGTGTATAAAACAAAGACTAATGCTTGGCTTAAAGCTATTATACAAAAAGTTCAAAGACTTGATATTGCTTATTGAAGTTAGGCATGAAATCTTTCTCTTATGCATGGTCATTCAAATAGGCTTTCTTGTTGATTAATCTCTGTGGTATTGCTAATTTATCTGATGCATATTTTAACTAAGCTTCCTCTCAGTCATAGGAGTGAATGAAGAAGCGTTTGAAAATGAATTTGTAATCGTTTTGTTCTATTCGGTGTAAGTAAACAGTTAGCAATATACTGTTTCTAACTTCGGATGCCACAATGCAGGAAAAGTATCTGTCCATTAGATAGATTATTGCTTTCCTATACAAATCAGCAAAATAATCAGAATAATCTTTTCAGTGTTCATAATGCTTAAGACAATAATTGTCTGAGGATTGAGAAAGTTGTGACTCACTGAAAGAGATTATCTTCAGAGTAGGAAGGAAGTTTTATGAAGTCTGACAAACAGTGCTGAGAAAATGTATTGCTGGGTGAGATGAATGAACTGCATAACTTACTGACCTCCTTTCTGGATCTGTATTTTAAGTATTAGCATTAGAGATGGGATGTCATGTGTATCATTTTAAATATCTGCAAGAAAAAGTACAAATGATAGAAAAAAATCTGAAAGCTTTTCATTTACTGAGCGTTTAAGTAGTAATGCATCTCACATTGGGAACTTTTTATTTGCTGAGTGAGAAATTTGGAATCCCTTGGAGGAGAAGGAGTGTATCTCCAATAAATGTTTGGAGCACAGCTGAAGTTAAGATTCTGTGTACTTGTTGCATTGAATAAATGGAAAGACAGTAGCCAAATGTTTAAAATAAATAATCCAAGCTTTGATTGCTAAAACTTATTACATTTTAGATATTTATTATGCTGTATGGTTCCATGGAGCTTAAAGTGCACAGTGAGGGCACTGTAACATTTTTTTAAGATAATGCAATTTGTATACTTACAAAGAAAATTAACATTAGCAAGAGGGGATTTTTAAATAAAGTTTAACTTTAGCACTGAGGTTTTTTGCAGTCAACAAGGAATCGTTCTTATTCTTTTCAAATACTTAGTGATCTTTTCTAGCATGAAGAACTCAGCTATTTTGTAGGCTGTATCAGTCATCTGTGATGCAGTAAATGCCTTGTTGAGATTTGTTGCATTTCCCTCTTGTGACAATTCTGACTGTAGGTTACTTGAGAGAGAAACAGTATGGCTTTATGTAATGTAAAATACGTTGAGACTTGATGTGAAGATGCCTTCAAGGAACTTTGAAGATCAGTTTCTCTGGTCCCATGAAGAACAATCAAATGAACTTCCTTACCTATAAAGGCAGAAGAAAGCTCATAGGTATCTAGCTTTTTTCCTGGAAAAATTAGACCTATCAGTAATGCTATGGTGCTTGCTCACTACTGGCACTATTATTTTAACAGAGTTTATTGTGCAAGCTAAAGACAACCAGAGAGCATTTGGACTGCTTAATCTTGGGTGCATTTAGAGAGAATTAAAGTCACTAAAATTCTTTACGGTGTTTTATCCACAGCCATTTTTCTACTTAATCTGCATTCCTTGCTTGCTGAAATTCCATCTGTGTTGCCCATCCTGTGAGGGATCTGAACAATGACTGACATCACGCACTCCCTCACTTTAGTGGGAGCATAATGCAAATGCATGGCATTTAAGTATATATAATGTACTTTCTTTTTGTGCTTTTGATTAGTCAGTTTATACAAATTAAAAATATTTCCTTTAAGGATTTTTGTACTGGCCTAGACAAGCAAATCAGGAGGTGAAAACAGCAAAGGAAAAAGTGTATTCTGTTTTCTGTTACATTACTATAGGCTGTTATAAATAACATGTAAAGTTTTGGGCAAGCAGCCATCTGCTGCAGTAATAGTAAGCTATTGGATTAGATCGTACATTCCTGATTTGCTCCATTATTTTAATGGATTTAATCTATTTGGAATGTTACTTATTCAGGAGAATGTAGCAAACATAATGTCCCTTGAATTCTGGCAGACTTCCTAAGAAATGACCACTCTGAGTATGGGTTCTGCCTAATTCTAATCACATTGACATCGGGATAGTTGACAGTCTTCAGAAATATCTAAGGGGATAATCTAGAAATGGAAGAATCTGCTGATCCTCAAATTGTATGAAGGACAGAATAAGGCAAAATGTTTCCAGAGCGGAAGTTTAATTTGATCTTGATTAAACAAAGGCCTTATGTAATACCAGATACCAAAATAAGGCCCAATACTAAAACCTCAGGCATTCAGCTGCTAGGAAAATCCATGTCTGTACCTTCATAGACCAATTTATACTGAGAATTTACCCTATTTAATAGTCCATTGCACCTGGCTCTATTCTCTTGTTTTCATTTTCCATCTGTCTTACCCAAAGATAACTTCTGATCTGGCACTCAAACAATTATGATTATTTTTCTATTTATCCTTAGTCCTTCTGTTTTCCAATTCAGTGCATTTTTGCAAATTTTTCGTAATATTATTCCCTCTCTTTTTCCTAGATGACTTGATGATCTTACTGTTGTTTTTCTGAACTTGTTACTTTTCCAAGTGAACGTGCTGTCTTAATAATCTCCCTCATCTACTCACTAGTATTTGTGCTAGTACAAACCTTTAGGCTAAAAATATGCACATGAATGGCATACTTTCACTCTGCAGACAACCACAGATCGAATTGTATAGTACAATTGCACACCAAATCAAGACAAAGCTTACTTGCTATGTCAGCTCAAGCCACTTGAATTCTTAAATAGCTACCAGAGATTTGGAATTGAGAGATAGAAGTACATATTTTAAAAGTGATGATTGAGATTACTGTGGGGGAATACTGTGACCTTACGTCACAGTGCATGCTACATGCAATGCAAATTAGAAGCATCAAGCCATTTAAATTAAATTTTGTAAACAAAGTGAATGAATTGCCTTGGATGTGTGATCAGCCTGTATGTTCTTCAGTATATTTCTGTGATGTACATTCTGGAAACAGGCTTGAGTCTCCAACTTAACAAAACTAACAGCGCCAGTGTACAACCAAGTCTGGAACAATAAATTATGTTGGCAGGAAAACACATTAGCTTGGACATAGTTCTGCCCTGATATGATCATATAATACATGCTCAGTTCATAAATCAGTAGAAGTAGATTGCAGCAAGCCAGAATACATGGCATAAACATATTCTTAGTTACTCTTATAGCTCTATAGAAACACAACCAAATTTTAAATGCTCCCGTAGTTATAGACAACATATCAGGACACAGTATTCAAGGAATGCTTGTGCCAGCAACAAATACACATGTAGTTTCTGTATATTCATTCAGTATTCTGTCACATAAGATCTTTTGGCTGCAGATTTAAAGCTTGTGTTTAACAATTCACCATGAATCCCAACTACTTTTAAGAATTACAGCTTTTCAGAAAGGATTTCCTTCATCCTTTTCCTGTATTCTGTGTCACTAGCTCATAGAGATATGAATTTATACTTGGATACATCCAAAAAGTCCGAAGTCTGAAAGGGAAGACCTTCTACTGATATTGGATCTGACTAATAAAAACATACACCTGTAAGGTAGAGAGATTGTAGTGTGCATATATGAAATGAATGTAAATCCACTGAATTTTTTTCATGATTACAGATTACAGTCAGCAGGAAATTCTAAACATAAATCCATTTACTAGTGTTCATGACAAATCAATCTTAATAAGATAGAGAAATACCAGATAACTGGAAAAAAACGATTATGTCCATATTTCAAATGGTTAAATTGAATCTTTGGATTAAGTCAGATTTCTGAAGAAAAATAATGAAGAAGCTGGTAAGAAATGAAATATATATATAAGTGATCTAGGTATTCATTTATAGAAAAGGTAGTTTGTCAGAAGTATTTGGTTGTTCCAATGGGACTGTAAATTGGCAGATAGCAGTAAAAATTTGAACTGATATTTTAAGACTTTCTATGAGGTATTTTGATTTGGAAATCAGAATAACACATAATCAATGCAGTTCTCATTAAACGGAGTTATTTCTAAAAATAAGGGAATCACTGGCCAGTTGTTTTTTGAGAGTAATACCACGAGAATTAGTCCTTGATATTTTTAATCAATTAAGATTTATTTGAAACATGTTTTAACTAAATATTGTGGAATTCTTGTTACTCAGATGGCAAACCTGCATAACTAAAATCTGATGAAGAGTACAAGTGGGGATATGGGAAGACTTATCATTAGTCTAGAAATGCATCTGAAAACTCTTCTGTTCTGTTCCTTCATACTGAAAAGACCTAAATTTGGTAGATTTGACAGTTTTTGCACAAACATTTCACAAGCACCCAGCAGCTACTTGTGCTGACAAAAAAAAAGCCTCAGTCTGGACAGTGCGGAGAAGCTCAGCAGCTTTCTCTTCTGTACTCATTCTATATGCAAGAATCTTATGAACAGATTATTTGCAGCTTTCATGGTGTGACAAATACACAGAAATAAGGTTTATGACCATCCTTTCCTTTTGAAATCTCAAATCTCTACAGAAAGGTAGTTTAGCAAGAAGAGTTGCTACTCTTCCTTTTTCAGAGCACGAGGGACACGCTTTTGAGATGTTCTCTGTTGGTCACATGGGTCTCATCTCATCCTTAGACATGTAAGTAATTTAATTTGGATCTGCTGCATCTTAAGTCCATAGTAGTCTATGTAAGTGGACTGATACTAGCTGTATTTGATATTTTTCCGTTGTTATTTCAAAAGAAGGGAAGCATTTCTGCTCAGTATGAACTGAAAACCTCAGGTGAGAAGAAAAATGTCAAATTTCTGCCTTTGAACTTTCCTGCAGCTCCAGTCAAAGCAAAAGGCGTGGAAACAGCGAGACTCAATATTAAGCCTTGTTTGTAAATAGCTGTTCCCTCAGCACGTGTGCTTTTCTGAACCCTATTTTGAAGTCCCACTACTACCCACACAGAGTTGTGCACTCACTGTATTTGGAGCACTGGGTTCTCCTGTAGGCCTTGCGTGCATAATTCACATTCTACCAATAACCATAATGCAGTAGCTGTCAAGCAGGATCAAAAATGGGGTTACCAGAAGTCAATTAGCTTTTATGATAAAAATCCAGTTAAAAATTTGTTTCTCCCTACCTTACTCTCTTCTTCCTTCCAACAAAGTCTCTTCTCCTGCCACTCATGAGCAGACTCTTAGTGTAGCTGCACTTTTGTAACACAAACATTTTTTTTAGACTACTGAGGCAGAGCTTAATTGTTATGTAATGCTTTGTGTTGGGAGGAAATGGAGGATGTGTCTGGAAATGCAATTAACAAGCAAAGTGCATTTCTGTAATTGTCAGGAGCATGGGAATAATGGAACACGTTGCGTATGTTACTGAACAAAAAGCAAGCCATAAAATACATCAAAAATGAATCATACAGTTATCTGACTTACTAGAAAATAAAGACTGTATAGGAATACTGGGAATGATGAAGGAAGGATTGAAATGCTTTAATTACAGACTTGTTTGTCGAGGTCACAAATTATGATTTCTCAGTTACAGAAATTTAAATATACCTTTAAAATCATTTTAGCTGTATGAACTTAATAGAGAATCATATATTCCAGTTTTGCTTGAATAAGGATATACAGGATTTCTAGAGATAAATCTGAGTATAAATATTTAAGCCATATTCTTAATGTCATAAAAATACTCTCTCAAAGTAAAATAGCTTGCTGAGAAATTAAAAGCTGAATCAGATGTTAGATTCAAAACAAATTGATGGAGTGGAAATGTCACCCTTAAACATAGGATTTTTTTTATATTTTTGGTAGAGAGTGTTTTTTTTTTGTCTGCTTTGTGAAAACTAAGTAAAAAGAAACCATGCACTTGTGCATAAATAACCATAGTTTAAGTCATTAACATTTCTGTTCTTCCAATTTGAATACATTTAGAAATAAAATGCAAGTGACTCCTTGGCAGCAGCTTGGACCATTTTCCTCCACCTGACAGTCTAGACACCTCTCTTCATCGTCTTTCTGCACAAATGAGGTATGGCTGTGGTTGCAATGTCATGCCTAATCTTGGTTTGAGATCTGGAATTGCACCATGAGGAAAACACAGGTGAAATCGTTGCAGTAACGAAGTGAAAAACAGAAACAGTTCCATTCGAGCTAGCTGTTCTCCAAGACAATGTCTTCTTCCTGGATTAGAAAAAAAAGTTTTTGAAAAGACTTGTAAAATTATTTACATTACATTTTCACTTTAGTGAGCAAGAAATTGTGGTTTCATAAAACAGATGGATTACAAACTCTAGAAGTTTTAAAATCAAATGAGTACAGAGAAACAAAACAAGCAATAAAGATAGAATTCATCACATCTACCTTAGGCCATTTAGAAGTTGTGCATCTAGTCCAAGAAAACTGTGTTACGACTCCCTGAATATTTTCTTGGAACATAATGTAGTGCCATAAGCTGACCTCCTTGGGAAAAATACCTGCAATTTCTGGTGCTGAACAAAGTGCTGAAATTTGAAAACTAGCTCTGCGTATCACCTGCTTGCGACAAGTTTAGCAGCAAATGACTATGCATGTTAATTCTGAAACAAATAGCACTTGGTTTGCATAATTTGTATAGCAGTTGTCAGTTTGTATAAGTTGTATAATAGTTTATTTTTATATAGCATTATCCTAAAATGTGCTATGCCCAGAAAAGAACATATCTTTAAAATAGCTGTTTCATCAGAACCATGGATTTAAATCATGCTGTTCATTTCTGATTTATTGTCATCACTTTTGTGTTGTATGTTCCTAGATTTATGCGAAGGAACAGTGGAAGGAATCGTTTTTACCTAATGAAAAAGGAATAAATGCATCTTTCTTGACAAACTGTCCACTGCTGTCCAAAAATCTCTCAGGAAAAAACACTTCTGGGTTGTTCCAGTATTTTTCATCAAAATGTACAGAGTAGAGGTTTGTAATAACTGTAGTGCCTTCAGGAATAGAGTAACCACGTACAACAGTATCTTTGGAGGTTGCGTGAAAAATACCTAGTGGAACTATGTTACAGAATCTTAGGACTTCGTGGAGAACAGCCTCAGTGTATGGCATTTTACATTTCTCTTCCCAAGCAGGCATTTTGTTTGGGCCGATGACTAAATCGATCTCTTTTTGAACATGTCCTGTTAGGAAAAGGAATAAGTGAAAAATCCTTTATATTTTATAGCTTGAAAATATACTGATAAAAGATACTGAAACATGACATATCATACCAAAAATATAGTAGCTTATACGTTTTTAAGGTTAGACCTTCGTCTTCCTCTTGCTAGTAGGAATTCTTGTAAGCATATATAACAGTAATCTTCGTTTCAAGATTAACTATTGACAGTAAAATCATACTTTAATATATTCTTTTGTTCTCAAGTTTACTTCTGTTTCATCAAAGTGAAGGGAACAAGCATGAGACTGCAAAGATAATGTACTTTAAATACCTGAGTGGACACAGGTAACACTGATATTATCTACTTACAGTGGTTCTTGTCTAATTCTGCTGAGTCTTTGAAATTGACTAAGTGTCAAATCATTCACTCTTAAACTGGAAATAATTCTCACTGTAATGTATCAGATAAAAAGAACTGCAGTAGCAAGATGCTGAATGTAACTGAAAAGAAAAAAATTCAATCCTCATTTTTTTAGCTATTTTTAAAATTAGGTTCATAGGAATAAGATCACTCTTTAGAAAAATCTCAAAGGCATTTGGACCTCCTCTTTTTTTTTTTTCCTCATAAGCTTTCTTTGTTGAAACACAACCCCCTAATTAATTAAAACAAATTTGCATTTTTACATTTCATGTACAAATAATGAAAATCTGAATCGCAACAGGAAAATTCTACCAAGAATCACCAGGTTCTTCAATCTGATGTGACAGTATTTCGTATCAATATAAAGAGATGGGAAACGGCTTAGTGAAAGCACATTCTGTAATGTAGTGATTTATTGGCATGTATCGTCAAAAAAAAAAAAAAGGAACATCAATTTTAATTTTTATCTAGATGAACTGATATTGAATTCTGATTCAGGAATGTATTGTATGGTATCTAAGATCAGAATATTATTTTAGGGGAGTGGATTTCTACAAAAGTGGCCAGTGTACAGGAGAAGAGAGAATGTTTTTCTTGATCTCTATTGAATAACAAGATCTTGGTCAGAGCTCAGGGAGTTAGGATGTTTTAGTCTTTTTGACTACTTGTGGCACTTAAAATACCTCTTTTCAACACAAATATGTATCCTAAAACTTAAGTACCTATAATCATATTCTATCATTTTTAATTTTTTTTGTAGACTTTCTAATTGCACTACTATCAAGCATGATGACAAATTAACAGAACACAGAAACATAAAAGCAGTACATAATTATTTTAGAACTGTCTGTTCTAAATCATCTGAAATATGCTGACTGCTTAGAAATAACAACCTCACTTTTATGCTTCCACAAAAGAAGTATTCATTTTGTACTCAGTGAAGCCTACGTATTTCTCCTTAGTTAAACATCCATTACCACAAAAATAAAACATAACTTTTCATATATAAAGATATCTGATTTCTAGATAGAACTGGAAAGCCTTACAGACATGGGTAGTGTTGTTATCCCTAATCTAAAAGAATGTTCCAATTGATGTTAGAGCAGTATTATTTGGTCAAAGTATCTTTACAAATTTGAGTCATCCACACTGCTTTTTCTCCAAACCATGAAAGTTTCTATCTGAAGTAAGTGCTGCTAATTTTAATGGGAGAAATAAATCAGTAGGCAATGAAACAAGATGACTAGTTACCTCTGAAATCCAAATTTCTGCCCAGTGTCTGGGCTGATATTCAAACGTCTAGTGCTGCCTTACTTCCCGATAGCTGTAACCTTATCTTCTTGTTTTTAAATGTTTTTTTCTTTCTTCCAGAAATATAAATAACTATAATCTATTTTGAATTGAGGTGCTTAAGGAAAATCGAAATTGCAAGTAAGATACCCCAAATATTTTTGCTCATGTTTTTACATTTTGTTATCATTTCTTCCTTAATTGCATGTATTTATTTTAACATATAGATTTAGTGCATCTACCAACCAATATTAAGCAATGCAATGCAGAATGTAAATATATTAGAAATATTTTATGAAAAAAATCAAATCTCCATAATAAGCTGTAAAACAATTTAATAACATGCTAGAATGTTATTATCATACTTCATGTTATAATTTGCAGTGGGAAAGTGTATCAGTTCCTCAAAATGTCAAAGTTCTTACCTTGAATGTTTGGATAAAGAGCCATAAATAACACCGCCCATCTCAAAACATTTGTTGTGGTTTCTGTCCCAGCTATGATGAGTTCTCCAACAGAGAAAATTAAGTTTTCTCTTGAATATGTAGATTCTGGATCACTTTTGTTGCAATCCATCTCATCTAAATATGCATCTATAAAATGCCGAGGTGACTGAGGTTTCCTATTTTCAGAGACTCGTTCTATAAGCTTATGAAGAAAGTCATAGACTTCTGCTGCATTTTTAAACAGCTGCTGGTGTTTCCCAAATGGCAAGATGCCGATCCAAGGAAAAGCATTATACAAAAATACAGAGGCACTAGCAGCTAATTCAACATTTTCACTGAAAATCTCAATCATGTGCTGAAATTCAGTATCTTCATACGTAAAACGTTCCCCAAAAATAATCAAATTAGTAATGTTTGAAACGGCGTTTGTTATCAAGTGCTTCAGATCAAATGCTCTGCCTTTGTAGGTATCAATGGCATCAAGGAAAAACACAGATTCTTCTGAAATTTTGTGTTCAAAGGACCTTTGGCCATATCCAAAAGTTCGAAAGGTATTTACAGCTAGTTTGCGATGTTCTGTCCATCCTCTGCCGTATTTACTGTTCAGTAAGCCTGAAAAAAATGTTTTGACACAGCATTTTATGCAATGCTTTTTTTTTTCCTCAACGAGGCAATAAAATTATTTAACCATTCAGTCCACTCTAAAGGTATATTACTGCTAGTAGAATAAGCAATCAGAAGATTGCCTAAACAACCCCTCTGCCTCAAAGCTGAATTAGACATACCTGTGCTACTACAGGCAAGCAGACTTCATGCCCTTATGTCAAAGCATGTCAGATATATCTGGAAACATTTTGCATTTATGGAAAACTGGGACTAAGAGCAATTGCTATGAGTTATTTCCACTATAACGTCAGCAGGTACACCAAGAGTATTTTGCTATCAAAAAGCAAGCCTACTGAGTCATAAGACATATACTAACAAGTATTAATGCCCACATTTTCCTTTTTCACTGAGGTTTTAACTTAGCTTTTACTAAAAGTAATGTATCCTATAAACAAAAGTTGAGGTGAAGTCTGTCTATAACTAATTTTAAAAAAAGATCTTTTAAGATTAGATTCAAAGAATTCAAATACTAAGTAATCTCTCAGTATTTGTCTCCATCAGATTTATAAAGGTCACACTACTTCTCAGCATCTATGGGAGATAAAGTGCCATTAGGATCCGTGTCTGCCAGTCTAGGTTAAAAATAGGTATGTTAATAAGCACTCTAAAAGAAAACCCTGAGTATAGGAAAGAACAAGGTGCAATTTTTAATGATGTGGCTGAAATCTGTATAATACAAGGTAAAAGAGCTGGTGCAAAACAGACGTTACAAAGCCAGGCATAAAAGGCAGAAAACAAAGAAACAGAATGGAAACACCAGAAGAAATACTGACATTTAACCTCAGAAATTAAATTTGAGGTGCAGCTCTTAAAGTCATCAAAATTTCTGAAGTTCCTCATACACCTGTATCTGAATGGTCAAGGCCAATTTAATACAGATCTTCTCACTAACAAGGCCACAGAAATTATATTTGCCAACTCAAACAGACCAAATCTGCAAGGAAGGCAAAATGAGTTGCAAGAAAATCGAATCATAGAATCATAGAATGGCCTGGGTTGAAAAGGACCATGATGACCATCCAGTTCCAACCCCCTGCTATGTGCAGGGTCGCCAACCAGCAGACCAGGCTGCCCAGAGCCACATCCAGCCTGGCCTTGAATGCCTGCAGGGATGGGGCATCCACAGCCTCCTTGGGCAACTTGTTCCAGTGCATCACCACCCTCTGAGTGAAAAATATGTTTCTCAGAGTTCATGCTAAACAACTGGAAGAGTTATAATAATAGATAAGTATAGCTATTTCAGAAGACTCTTGCACTGCTCATAGCTAAAAGCTAAGAGATGCTTCAAAGCTAATTTGATTCCCAGAAACAAAGAAAATAGCTTTCCAACTGACATTAATTGACTGAGGAGGGGAGAGCATAGTGATAAAAAAATAAATAAATAAATTACATGTATCTTGCTGTGGAATTTAGCTCAGGAATGACAGTCTTTTCTAGATATCTCTAAAGAAGCATCGAGTATTTCATGATAAGAGACAAGGTAGAGAAAACAACTAGAGCAAATGTTGCATGCAATCATACAGCCTAGTAAAATCTTATGAACAAAAATGCATTTCTGTTTGAAGACACCAGCACTTACCTCCCATGTTTGTCAGCTTCTTAAACAAAGGAAGAGGTGGCCTGTCTGCAAAAATTTCGCTTTGGTGGACAAGGCATTCTTTCACTGCATCATAGCCATTCAGCACAATAGCAGATATACCTCCCAAATCAAGACTGAAAATCTTGAGGGAAAAAAAAGGAGATTATAAAATGCTGTTACAACCAAATCTTACAAAGAAATAATGAAAACAAGCAAATACAGCTAATGAAAAAGTGACGCAACACTAAACTTCAATGCAAAATATGGATTTCATAAATACAGCAATAAACTTCAATGGGCATACAAGAAACAGGAGTGTTTTCAAGCACTGACACAATTGTGGCACCATAGAGTTTGTTGTGAGCTAAATTAATCTCTGTCAAATGGCACAGTAAATTAGCTTGTGCTACATGCTGCTTTGCAGTGCACCCAGTGGGACCAAACCACCAAAGTGAAGATTGGGAACACTTTCATATAGTCATTAAAAAAAAAAAAGAGAACCTGTGCATATTTCAGAAAAAAAAAAAGTTTTTTCTCCAAATGCAAGTGGATGAAAGGTACATTATTTATAGAAGAACTAAAGCCCTTGTATTATATACTTTCATATTGAAACAAAGAAAGGGGGAAGTTTCGCTGCTATCTGTCGCTCCTTTCTTCCGTAGTATGAAAGAATCCAGCAGTTGAATCTGGTTAAGGGCATTGTGATCGAAGCTACGAGTTCTTCTGACCAAAACTTCCATCACTTAGTGATGGCAGACATAGAAGTGGTGTCAGTGCCGGAAGACAGCCAAGCTCCACCTAGTCCTTCCTCTCCCTGAAACCAGGCACCAGCTTACTTTGCACAGACTCCCAAAGACCCATCAGAAGACAGATATGATGGGCAACAAATGAGAGCATAGCCCAACTAGTCCCATCTCCTGTTTCCAGAAGTGCTCAGCATCCAGAAGTGCATCTTTGGAGAAAGATGCAATACACCCTGCAGAAGGCACATACAGGATAAACACAATGACAACCTTCTCCTAAGCTTAATAAAATAAAATAAAAATGAGGCTAAATTCTCAAGGCTGAAATTCTATATTCCTTTTCACACTTTTGTTAGCATATTAAATCTGGTATTTTTCACCTACACAAATCTTTATTTTTTCTTCATTGCAGCATTGCTGACCATCGCTGTATGAAGAAGTAATGGGCAGTAGTTTAGTTCCTCATTCTATGAAGTCTTTTTCCTTTTAGCAAGTGTAAATTTTTCACTGTTGTAATTGCTCTTTTTTACATGATGAGAAGAAAGTACTGCTATACCTCTTGGAAGCATTTATTTTTGTATACTTCGATTATAGCCTATTTATCATTCTTTGTATGTTGTGAAACACTTTTTTAAAGATCATTTCCTTGATCTCCTCTAGAGCTCCCAATATCCTGGTCTGCCTCCTGATCTACCCCAAATTCTGCAGAATCTTTGATGACAGCAGGTGAAGAGAACTGCAGTCAGCATTCGGGCAAGTATAAAGCTTAATTTTTGGATGATACATTTGCCTTCCTATTTCCATTCAGTTCATCCCAGTATTTTCCTTGAAACACCTTTATTGCCAAAATAACAGGAAAGAGATGAAGAGATAACCCTACCCTTTCTGCCACTGAGCATGCTTTTTGTTCACACACTTTGCTTCTCGTTCATAAGACTATGACTGTTAGGTTTCTTCTGTAGCTTTCATAATGAAAAGCTTTACAAAAGCTTTTGAAAGACTTATGCGCCATCACCAGTATTCTTTCACTGCCTTGTCCCTTTAAACCACTCTTAACAGTTTGAGGAAGTTAGTTTTCTAGGCAAGCCAGTGTTTGTTGGACTCAAAGCTCTCTCTTTCCATCGCTTGAGAATCCCTCTAAGGAGAAGCCCGTAGGGGTTCCGGGATGGGGGAGGGGGACGGGACGGGACGGGACGGGACTGGAAGAGGCACACGGCTACACGTGCTGCATCTGCTCTGCCTGCCTTTCCGAGCCAGCACTGATAGCTTGGGCTTCGCTTTTTTGAAGCGTGTAAGAATGGACTGCTTCCATGAAACGGGGTAATGAAAAGGAACAGCTGAGAAACAAGAAAACATGAAAAGGGGAAAAAAAAAAAACAACAACCAAGAACCATCTGAACATTCCTATATATGAATAAATGGACTGTCAGTAAGTACACTCCCATATCACTCTGAAGGCACTTTAACGCACAGTTCTTCCCGCGACAATGCCGCACTGTGCCCGTGCCTGCCCTTTGCTTTCCTTTTGGCGAAGCCCCGCGAATGCAGGGCAGCCGGATGCTCGGCCACCCGCTGTCCCGAAGCGGAACCCCGGCACGCACGGGAGCCGGTCTGTGCCCGGGGCCGGGCCGCCCGCAGCACGCGTCTCGCCCGACGCTCAGCGCCAGAGCTGCGGGGCCCCCGGCGCCGTCCCGCCCGATAGCGGCCAGGCCGTTCCGCCGCTCCGCCCGCCGCCTGCCCCTGCTCGGCGTCGGTGCCGGCTCCCGCCCGGTACCTGCCCGTGGATCTGGCTCTGGCGCCTCATGTAGACGTGCGGCTGCTCCGCGCCCAGGGAGTGGATGTTGCCGATGAGGGGCAGCCCCGCGGGGCCGGGAGGGAAGCCGGGCGGCCGCCGCTGCTTCAACAGCTGCCGAACCACCAGCGCGAACAGCAGCAGCAGCGGCGGTAGCACCAGCAGCAGCCAAGGCCCGCCCCCTGCTGCCGCTGCCGCCGCCGCCGCCTCCGTGTCCCCCGCCGCCGGCCCCATCGCGCCGCTTCCTCCCGACACCGGCTCGCCGCCCCGCGTTGGGCGCTGGCAGAGCCGCCCCGCGTAGACCGGCCCCCGGGAGCGCCGCCCCTCGCGTCAGCGGGCCGGGGCGGGACGGGGTTGCGCTGGTGAAGCGCTGAGAAGCTTTTGGCGCCCGAATGAAAATAGCTTTGTACCGGGCCGACCTGGAAAAACAGGAAAAGCAGAAATACGGGCTTTGGGGGTGTCTTTCCCGGAGCCTCCTCGGGTCTGGAACAACTGCAGACGGACAGCCCCGTCGCGTTTCCTTTCCTTCTCGCCCTCCCTTCTAGCCACGATAAAGAGAATGTGCCCGTCCGACGGGGCTCCGCTGGTGGGAGATGGGCACCGTCGGCAGAAGCCTGATGTCTGCTGGAGGACATCTCTGCGTAACTCGTTATTGCCGCTGTTAGCGAGCAGGGTGGCACCTCGGCAAAGGGCTGCAGATACTGGACAAACACAGATTGCTTCCTGCCGAGCTAAGAATGCAATCCGACAATGAAGAATAACATCCTGTTGAAACGGTTCTTAAAAAACCTCACTCTGTTTCCGCTCATGTTGTTTTACTTTTCTATCACTGCTACCGAACAAGTAGATCTTAGCATACCAGAAGTACTGATGCCCTGCTAAAATTACAGTGCTGTGTCCAATCAGTCTTTCTGCTGATTTTAGCTCAGTACCTCCAGTAGTTCTGTAAGAAGATTAAGATCTGCACTGATACAGTCTGTACTGATGAACTTCATAAATAACCTAACTGATCAAAGTGCATCGCATTCTCGGTCATCTAACTATTTAATGCTTAATCCCCAGTATGTTCCTGTGTTGAGATGTTCCGCTTCTGATGTGGAGGTATTAACTTGAGAGCACGTGGCCTGGAGGCTGAGGATGGCAGGTGAAGACAAAATCAAGCACAGCAAAGGCATCACTTTGAGAGCACAGAGAGGAGGTACTGTGACTGGGATGGGGGAAGGAAGGGGACTGGGAAATGATAAGGTGTGGCCTTTTGCCTGGCATTTTGGGTGCAAGTTATCTTACAGAACCATAGAATAACCTGAGTTGAAAGAGACCCGTTAGAGTAATCCACTCCAGCTCCTGGCTGTACACAGGACCACACAAAAATCAGACCCTATGTCTGCAAGTGCTGCCTTAACGCTCCTTGAACTCCAGTAGATTGGTGTGATCACCGCTGCCCTGGGCAGCCTGTGCTATGTCCACTGGCCTCTGGTGCACAACCTGTCCCCCATTTCCAGCTGCCCCTCCCCTGGCACAGCCTCCCCTCAGCCCTGTCACTGTCACACAGAGCAGAGCTCAGCACTGCCCTTCCGCTCCCTGTGAGGAGCTGCAGCCACCATCAGGCCTCCCCTCAGCTCTTCAGCTCTGGGCTGAGCAAACCGAGGGACCCAGCAACTCCTCATACATCCTTCCCTGTAAATCCTTCACCATCTTTCTTGTTACCTTTCAACACTCTCTAGTAGTTTTATATCCTTTTTGTATCGTGGCACCCAAACCAGCACGCGGTACTCAAGGTGAGGTTGCACCAGCACAGTGTAAAACAGTGCAATCCCTTCCCTCACACTTTGTTTCATTATGAAATTTCCTGTCACCTTGACTGAATTACTTTGTTCATGCCTGCAAAAACATCAACGTGTCAGTGCCCTAAGATTTCTCACCAGTGGGCAACAGATTCAGGTTGGCTCCAACCAGAAGCAGAATGAGGGGAAGTGATTAAAAAAACGGTCTGTAATTTGCTTGAGCAGCTGTGCTGAAACACACAAACTCAAATGGGTGGATTCAAACCTACTTAAGTAAGGAAGAAGGGGTTTACCATCAGCATATTTAGGTGAATGGAGGTACGCAGATGAGCTGATCAAAATATACCTGTCCCAGATCAGATGACACTTGAATAGTTCTCAGAGTGTCTGAGGAAACATAGCCTAGCTGCAATTGCTTTGATTTTCACTGTTAAGTGTGTAATACATCACATGCACCCAGAGATGATTTCCAGAGCATCTGTCTAAGAAAAGAGCAAAAGTGATTGATTTCTTGGCAGCAAGCATTCTGGGGAGGAGAAACAGAAAACAAACATAGCATAGGAAGATCCAAGAAATAAAAGGAGGTACAGAAAAGCCCAACAGTCATTTTCAAGAGGAGGAGAGAACAATCAAAACTGATCTTATCATAGTATTTAGACCCTGTGGTGATGGAGGAAAGAAGATGGTGCTATTCGCTGTAACAGAGGACGAGAAATGAAGCACATGATTGCAGAGCTGTTATATCAGATTTGGTCAAGCCAAAAGGTGATGAATCTACTAAGGTTAAAAATCCAACAGTCTCTAAAGAATGATTAAATGGAGGAAAAGTATGACTGAAAGCCATGGATAAGTATGACTGAAAGTTGTCAGAAGTGATAAATGAAGCTTTGCAGACAGATGACATCACGTAAGAACAGAGATGCAGGGATTCAAGAACCCATTGGGCTATCCAAGATGGATTCCTTGCCAGTTCCTCACTGATCTTTTTATATTTCTTTCATTCTTTTGAGAGTGTGGGGGTAGCTTGTGCTGAATTGCTACTTTGGGAAGGTTTTACTCATCTTAATCACAGATGATCAAATGAGCAAACTCATAGGATGAGTAAAGGTTTTGTGATTTCAATTATAAAAAATGATGGCTGAGTAAGGAAACCCATTAAAGTGTGTATCTTTATTAAATTCTAAAACATTCTGGTCATCACAATTCACAATTACTTTGCAACATAAATCCTGTAAGGAAAAGTTGGATGCAATTAAGTAACAGCAAAGATTACGTTCCTGCCTTCTCCAGAAAAGCAGAAGGCAGTTCTTTGAAAGGAAGTGACTGTGCACATGCATAGTTTTGACTTCAGAAGGAATTTGAAGAAATCTACTCGTAGCTGGGATTGCTCTTTCAGTAACAATATTCAAAGTCCAATGACAACTCTGTTACATTCTTGGGAGGAAGATAAAGTTGCTTCCAAGCTCCATCAAGTATCTCACCAACTTGTATCAAAGCAGGCTTCTTTCTTTGTCGAGCACAAGTGGCTTTTGTGAAGAGTCAAAGAGTTAAACAGCCAGCTGAGAAACTATTACACCTGGTCCTCTCCACACACGTGGCACTGCTGGCAACAACAGGGACCTATGGCTGTAGCAGCCCATGGCATGGGGTCAACAGAATGGTCCTGGAATGGGCTGATCAAACTGTTAAATGACACTGTGGCTTAATCACTGTTAGGGTTCCCTCTACTACTGGGACAACGAATGAAATACTGACATGAGCTCTCCCAGGCTCCTAGTATCTTGTGAAGAACAAATACAGGGTTAACTTCAAGATTCACCAGACAGTTTCTCACTAGATATTTGCTGACATGCTCTGATGACATACAAGATAGTAGCGTAGCACTTGTGCAAGCGATCGAAACAAGGTTTTATAACTGTGCTATTGCCTAACAAGGTCTGTTTTCAGCTCTGAGGCTGCTTTCCAGATAAGGAGTTTGTTCAACTCCTATCTCAGCTGGAGAACGTGTAAAACTGAAGTGGAAATAGGTGCTGTGTTTCAGAGTGAGATTCTCCCATGCAGTTTGTCCCCTCTGTGTTAGCCTGGTCATGCTGTGAGTCTGTCCATGGCTGAATTTGGTGAGCTGAAATCTCCCCTTCAGGGATTCCCCTTGTCAGAGCACTGGAGGTACAGCCTGGAACAGAACTGGGTCTGGCTGGAGTACTGCAGAGTTTTGCCAGTTCTTAAGGGTGGAAGTGTTGCCAGGTGGCATGAACTGGGCCTGCAGCCTCTGTGAGCCTGCAGGATGGAAGACGATGGAGCCACAGCCAGCTTCCTTATGGTCTGCCCCTTCTCCCCTGCCATAGAACCCTCAGTGCCGCACAGCGTGACCCACTTTGTTGTAAAAGATTATTCTGCACCAGGTTTTTGAGTATATACAGGGAAAGTACTTCAAAGCCAAAGCTCATTAGGAGCGTTTCAGTGAGATTAAAACAATCCAGCATCGATCTTCTGTTTAAAATGTCTTCCATATTTCAGTCTGGAAGCTTTTCTAAGGCATTTTGGAAGATCTGAATTTGCTTCCAGACTGATTCATAGATTTCCCAGTAATTAGCTCAATAACAGTTCCTTTCTTGAGAAACGAGTCATTGAAGCACCCTGAATGCTGATGCTATTAAAAAGGGAACCCTCTGGTGTTGGGATCTGTGTCCATGTTCTGGTTCTCACTGAAATGCTGCATTTTTCTAAAGAGACAAACTCTTTCTTTTTTTTGGCCAAATTTAAATGAAACTACAGGATGGATGGCTAAAATATAATTTGTGCTGGTAAATCTGACATGAGCTTAGTCTAAATATGGACATTGTCTTCTGAAGGCTGTGGTTGGGAAAGGATCAGATAATTTAGGGAGGTAAGATCTAAAGACCAGTGCTAGTAAAAGTTTGGACGATAGGTAAGGTGTTATGTTTCAGAGCTTAAGTCTCTAGATGTTAAAATTACAGAATCTCAGAAACTGGAGATGAAAGAGGTGAAGAAAGCTCATTTAGTTGATCGTGTTCCCTTCCCAGAATGATGTCATTCCTGACAGATGTTAGATTGCCATGCCTTACAGTGGCATAGAAACTGTTAGTCTAGTGCAATAGAAATTGTTCTTGTATGGCATTAATTTCAGTTGTAGGAAGCTCTTTCTAATGCACAGCATTTCTACTGTTGTCTTTTAAGTTCATATATTTTTACTTTTTTGAGCACATTATTACTTCTTTGTAGCAAGTATTTATGTTTTGATCTTTCTCCATGATCTTTCCTTCTGCAGTTTCTCCAATTTTCACTCCCTCCAAGTTGCCCTTTCTGAGGTATGTCATGCTACCCTGAACAGAGTACAGTGAGGTCTAGGTCTTATCAGCAGCAAGTAGAGTGCAAGGATTAGCTCCAGGGCCTTAAACACGACATTCCTGTTAACAAACAACTTTATTTTAATACAGCACCATGTGGCTAACTCAGGTCCTGATTAATTTTCTGCGGGGCAGATTGGGATCACACATTAGAAAGATGTTTTCATGGGTATTCAGCAGCGTTCACTGTCCCCTGTATGAGTTGTCATCTTCTTCATTGGAAGTGTTTTCCAGCCATGTGTGGAGATATGAAGCTGAATTAGGCATCTACCTGGAACATGGACAGGTAGAGACACAGAGACAGAAAGGCTGTGTAGCTTTTATAACCCACTTTAACATGAAACATCCTGCTCTGCAAATCAGGTGACATTTAAGAACCTCACTGCAACGTCTATGGCTTGTTGGCACGATGGCAATATTTATAGCAGAAAAACAAATGGTTGTGCTTCAAGATGTATAGCTAAACAACATGCAGTAGGATATTGGAAGAAATTCAATCAAATGTAGAGAAAGAAAGTCAATTGAAAAGAGGGCAGCCTTTTCTGATTCCCTACAAACTAATTAAAAGAGGAAATTCTTTTTTTTTTTTATTTGGAGCTGCAGGTTGTATTGGATAATCTACTTTCTTATTAAAAAAAAAATCAAGACATTCTGTAGCTCTTCAGTTCATGTCCTTTGAACCTGCACAAACTGATTGTTTCACCTGACATCAGGCACTGAAGGAAGCAGAACCAGATCCTTGTTTCTGTAAACCTCATGTTTCCTTAGGGCAGTGCTCACAGGTACCCACTGCACTAGTTTTCCCACAAATACTTAACCTCTGGTTTTGGATTTATCCAGCAGCAGGAAACCTTGATCCCATAACAGCCCTGCCACTTTTTGGCAGTTTCTAAAACTAGACAATCCCATCTTTGGAGTTCTTTCATAGCTGTTTCTTCTCCATCTTATGTATAAGAGAAGAGAGGAAGAAAATCTATCTGATGAGACCAGCTGATGTATAACTGTGGGGAAAAAAAAACAGAAGGAGCTGGGAGTCCCTCCATTAGTGCTGGCAAGGAGCAGCCAAAGCGCTTGCCAGCATCCAAATACTATTTCATCTTTACGCTCACAAAAGTTTATCTATTAGCACTAATACCTGTTGCTTTAAATTTATGTTTCTTCCTGTGAAAGCCTAAAGTAGAAACGCTGGCATCTGAAATCCGTAATCAGTACATCCTGAGGGCTCCAGCCCGGGGCTGTTATGTTGGCAAGAGAAGTACTTGGAGTGACTGGAGTTGGCTGTAAGATGGAATACGGCTTGCTATCCCTCTAAAGAACTGAGATACTCTATTCCTACATGGTCGTCTGAGTTTTTTAAAGGTTAAAAGATAAATATTCCTTGCCGAGTAAATAAATCCCCAAAGAAAATGAGTGTGATTAATTTTTAACATAGAAAGGGAAAGGAATGGTGGAAGGCTGGGGCTGTGAGTTCAGTCCTGGAGCTCCCACACCATACATCTGTTGATGGAGCTGCACAAGTCACGCTGAAACAGCAAAAGCAATGCCGACCTGTTCCTTTGGGTGCTACCTCACGTTTGTAAATGAAACCTCAGAAAGACTAGCTGAGAAATCAGCGCAGAAGTGTCGGAAATATATTTAAAATTAAATACTTCAGTTCCTTCTCTCGGGAGACAGAAGGTTCTCTTGGCACGCAGCCGTGCATCACAAACTAACTTTCCACGTGCGCGTGCGGGAGCAGCAGGAGGGCTGTGGGACGAGCCTAGCCGGGAGGGAGCCGTAACGGGGAGCCCCGGGCCGGGCTCCGTTCGTCTTAAACGGTTTTGCAGTCATCGTTCTGCAGAACGAGAGCGGAAAAGCGGCAGCAGAGCCCTGCCGTAGCGCTGTGCCCCGCTGCGGGGCGGGAGGAGAATGAAGAAGCAGCCATCGACTGATCAGCGCGCCGCGTCCATGCTCCTCTTCCAACTTCCAAGACAGCGAATACCTGTTCTCGTTTCTCCCTACCTTCGTTCGTCTGCAGGTGAAATGCGTTGCTTCTGCCATCAGGAACCGTCTGTGAAACAAACAAGAAAAAAAAATGCAGGAGGATGCGGCAGCAGTGCCCGTGTCAAGTCGCCCGCCTGCACCGAGCACGGAACGAGCCGTCCCGCACCCCGCCCGCGGCTCACCTCCGCGCGGCCGCTGAGTCCCGCTCGCAGCCTGGGGGCCGATAGCAACAGCGCAACGCGGGGCGCGACCTCATACCGCGGGCGGGGCTCGGCAGCGCCGCAGGCAGGGGGCCTGGAGCCAGAGGGGCCGGGGGCCGCCGCTTCCCCCCTCTCCTTCCACCTGCCCCATCGGCGGCTGCGGAGTCGGGGGTGTGGGTTCTTCTCCTCCCTGTTCCCGCCCGGGCCGGAGGCGGCTTTCCGCTTTTCTCCGGTCCTCGAGACCCCTCGGCAAACACTCCTCCGGCCGTGCAAACATCCTGGCGGCAGGTGCAAAGGGTCCTCCGCGGTGATGCGTGGAGCCGCGGCAGCTGCCGGTAATCCGCAACCGCCTGCCTGTCCCGCGCTCCAATCCCCCCGCCTCTTCCGAGCGCCGGAAGGCGCCGCACCTGCCCGTGCCGGTAATAGGGGCGGCAGAGATGACGGTGATGATTTCCTCGAGGGCTGCGGGATCCCACCGTGGTGCGAGCCCGGGGGAGGCGGCGGAGGGCTGCCGCTCTCAGCCGCCCGGGAGTCCTCGCTCCGGCCGGCAGGGACCCGTCAGGCTCCGCTCGGCACTACGCGTACGCTCCGGCTTCGCGGCCGCAGCCCCTCCCGTCCGAACACAGCCATCGGGGAGCCGATAGAACGGCAGAGGACGCCCGGAGCGAGCCCGGCGGGGGGGGGGGGGGGGGTGAGTTGGGGAGCGTGCGGCCGGGCATCGTGGGCGGCAGATCGCCCTCCTCCCCCTGCCCTGCCGCCGCCGGCTTTTTTGTGAATGGGACGGTGGGACCGAGCGGGGCATGACGTCACCGCCGGGCCGGGCGGCCGGGGAAGTGATTGGCTGGCGGGGCCCCGCGGGCGCCCACGCAGGCTGCCGCGGCGGCAGGTATAAAGGGCGGCCGGCGGGCAGCGCGCGGCACCGCGGCTCGGCGGCAGCAGCACGGCCTCCGCTCCGCGCGGCACCGCTGCTCTGACCCGCACCGCCGGTAAGATCAAGATCCGCGTGCTGCGGCGCTCCCGGCTCTCTCGTGTCATTACGCTGACGTGCGGGGTGGTAACGCGTTAGTTCTGTGGGTGGGTGTGTGGAGAAAGAAAGCGAGCGGAGCAGGTAGGGTAGGAGCCGGCCCTCGCACTCCCCATCCCTGTGACGCTTGCAGGCGGAGAGGTGTGGGGCAGCCTCCTTGTAGGGCATTGCCGGTGGCCTTGGGGCATCTGAAGGCTGAACTGGGCCGGGAACGGGAGGCTGAGAGATCTAGAGCTGGTGGGGCAGTTACCCGTGTGCCTGTCTAACTTGGAGAGCTGATGCTGTGAGAAGCAGAGCTGTAACTCAAAGCAAATCGATTATGATTTCTTTTACAGACTTTGCTTTGTGACAGGTCGTTGTTTTTTTTGTTTTTTTTTTTTTTTGTTTTTTTTTTTTTTTTTTTTTTTTGCTTAGCTTCTCCTCCCTCTAGTTTCTGAGCAGGAATACTGATAGAAATGAAGTTGCTTAGTTCTTAAGGCATAATCTAAGCTGGGACATTAGCGTGCTAACTGCCAAGAAGCAAGCAGCTTCAGGTACAGTGCCAGCAGTGGCACTTCATTCTTAGCAGCATTAAACTGTAAGCATTTTTTTCCTTCTCTTTCCTCGTTAATTTTTTTTCCCCTCATGACTCTTCTCACACAGCTGCCTCTTCACATTGCACACCCTGAATGCCATTGTGCAGCAGACAGGGGGATGTGTTTTCACCCAGTCTGGGGGGAAAGGCTGCATTAGGCTGAAAGCAGCTGGACAGAACTGCAATTCAGAAAGACTGTGCTTATGTTCCCTGTAATAGTATTCAGTTATCTTAAAATTCCAAGAAAGCCAAAGCAAAATGGAGTGATTAAAGGTAATGTTAGGGGAAAGAAAACAGTTAAACAGAACCGTGAGCATTTGTGCAACTTGTGGCTAGCAGAGGATGGCCTCCTCAATAGGTCTTACAGTATCGAGATGATTGGAAAATAGCCATTGCTTGATATGCCTCTTTGTTGTAGAGAGGAAATCATGGTTATGCTGAAGATTTCATCTTTCCTTGCTGTTTATGCCTTGGTTGTGTGCCAGATGGACAGCTTCCAGGCAGCTCCAGTCAGGTAAGAAGCTGGTCGTATTGCTGAGTGCTTTGTCTGAATGGTTTGGAAATACTTAACTTTTATTTTTTTAAGAGCTCTGGGAGAGAAAAAGACTACAGAAAGCTGGCTTCTTCTGGGCTATCTATGATACTCATGTTTTTCTAACTACGTGTATAAAACACCTAATGCTGTGCATGTGTGTGACTCACATTTTCACACCCGTGAAAGGCACCGCCGATGACGTACAGCAGTGCAGGGCACACTCCTCTCTCCTTTACGTGGCTCTCTGTGTTCATCCTGTTTTCTTGCCTCTGCGTAGACCTGGCTTGGAGTCCATAACAGATCGAGTGACGCTCAGTGATTACGAAGCTCGGAGATTATTAAATGCACTGGTGAAAGAATTCATACAGATGACAGCAGAGGAGCTGGAGCAAGCCTCTGAGGGGAACAGGTAAGGACAGAGACTGTGGGGGTTGGGAAAGGTCAAGTTGGATGTCAAACACTTCACAGAGAGCCACCTGAGCAGACTCTCTCTCTTTTGTTTTTGTTTTCTTGGGGTTATGGTTAACTGATCACCTAATTTATAAAGGAGGATAATGTAGAGACATCGTAACGTTTGTGTCAGGAGAATGGCTTCCACTTAGTTAACCTGCTTCTATCTGTCTCTTACAACCGAAAGTGGAGGGGGATTTCAGCTTGAATGAGGGGGTTACGGGGGGAAAAAAATACAGCAAAAGGTATGTTTTCTTAGTGGGAATTTAGGGATCATTCAGTCACTCTTGGATTCTCTGTCATGAAAGTGCATGCTGTTGTAAGGCATGGAAAGCCCCTGGCAGAGGGGAGGTGCCCTCCCAGTGCACGCAGCGCCATCTCCCCCCTGGAGCAAAGGCATGCAAGAACGTTTGCATTATCCTAATAGGATTTGTATTGCAAAGCATGGTGATGATGTATGACAGACTGAAAAGCATGCTGAATACATGGAGAGTGAAACTTGCTGTCTCCTAACTGCAAGCATCTTAAAGGCTAATGAGCTTGCTTTTTCAACAAAATGAATTCATTGAAAACGGTGGTTTTCTTTCCAAGTGCATTTGTCTGAACCTTGCTTGCATGGAACGTGATGTGGAGGGATTGTTTTTATATTATTGGGTTTGTATTATTTATTGTATTATTTTGATTTTCCTAACAGCAGATATTTGCCTAGGGAAGAAATGCATGACCGTGCATGTTTGAAATATTCTTCTTTTGGGCATGGTTTGTTTTGTTTTTTTTTTTTTCCCCCCTGCAGCCTGGATAGACCTATTTCCAAACGCTGTGCCAGTCTGAGTACTTGTGTGCTGGGCAAACTGTCTCAAGAGTTGCACAAATTGCAAACTTACCCTCGTACTGACGTCGGGGCTGGAACTCCTGGCAAGAAAAGAAATGTGCTGAATGACCTGGAACACGAACGCTATGCAAACTATGGGGAAACCCTAGGAAACAACTAGGCGTGCTTATTTCTACCCTTCTTCCCTTCCCCTCCCCCCCTTTTTTTTTTTTTTTTTAAATCTGATGCATGTGGATCTAACTTTGATTGCTAACTCTGCTGTGTTCTTTTGATTCTGTTTTTGACAGAGAATGTTTGAGGTGGACCTAATGTTAGCAAGACAGAACATAACACACACATCAAGCTAGGGGAAAAATAAATAAAAATAGACAGCGCTGCCTCAATTTCAAGTGATTTTCTTAGGTATTAGGTATTAGGTCTTAGGTATAACAAATCTAGAAAAGGCTCTTCATTTCTGGCTACTAAATGTACAAGTAGACTCTTTTTTTTCTGTGCCTGCCCACGCACTTGTTCAATAAACCTATTTTTCTATAAGGATTAGATCTGTTTGGTTTACTTGTTTTAGAATGTGAGACTTCTAGATAAGGCTAGAGAGGTTTTGTACGTTGTTGTGTTCAAGAGAGGCAATGCAAGAAATTCTAGAGAAGTTCAATAAGTTAAGAAAATGCAAAGGTATCTTAGAAGTTATTCATGCGCATGGGAATTATACAATATATGCACTGATGTAACCAAGCATGCATGCAAACCTGTTAGTAAATAGCCTGAGATGCAAAGGAGTCAAGAAAGGCTCATGCAGAGCTGTACAAACTAGAAACGTAATCCTGTCTAGAACTGTGTGCTGAACACTTACAGGTAAGAATTTAATATTTTCTCTGCCTTTTTTTTCCTTCTCACTTGATAAGTCTTCACACCAGTGTAATTGAAACCTGAGTATGCTTTAAGTAAAGAAGCTAAATTATTTTGTTCTTATTGCTTAATGTTTAGATAGTTTTGTCTGTATTTTCAAAGAAATGCTAACTTTAGCTGTTTCTCACAGTATGCTCCATACCTTTATTTCCAGTTCTTCTGTTGCAACATCATATTTATCCTATAAGCAGTAGCCTGTTCTGAATCATGGCATCAGTGTTATAAACAATATTATTTGTTACCATTAATGAACTGTCCTGCAATGCTTTTCTGAGCAAAATTGTTCTTCCTTCAGATGCCTGTCCTTGCTTTAGTAGAAAATTTTCAAGCAAGGTCTGAGTGGAAATGTACGCCATGAAATACTGTCTAGAAAAAAAATTACTTGCCATGGGCTTACCTGAAGATATTCTGATGTCAGTGTAGTATTTACATAGCAATGAGCTGTACTGAACTGGGGCCTAATGGCAAGAAAGATGTTTCCATGTTCCCACTGGATATGCAGAAGCAGTATGCTTGTGTGTGGTTCAGCTCTGTATGCACATGAGTGGCTGCTGGGCCACTCACAGTTTTGTGAGGAAAGGGGATTGGTTAAATATCCCAGATCTGCACCTCACCAGCATCTCTGTGCTTGCCGTGGTGCCTTGGAGACGAAACTGCTCAGATGTCCCGAAAGTCTGGTTTGGTCCAATTGGTCTTCACTTCAGTTGCCCAAGAAGGGCTTGTCTACCTTTCACAAACTGAGCCTGATACTTAGAAGAGCTTGTTGGTGGAGCAAATGAAATGCCTGCTATACAGCAAGCCTGCCCTTGCTTTTGTGGAAAAAGCTTTCTGAGGTATAACATCCCTTACTGCCATCTTGTTGCAAGCAGAGTAGAGACCTTGGAAACTGACTTGGGAACTAACTTTGCTCTCCTTTCAAAAAGCAGTGTAACAGCACAGAAAAGGGCGTGCAACACAGCTACCTGCGTGACCCATCGCCTGGCAGACTTCCTGAGCAGGTCGGGAGGAGTGGGCAAGAACAACTTTGTCCCGACCAACGTGGGCTCCAAGGCTTTCGGCAGGCGAAGAAGAAACGTTCAAATATAAAGAGCTGAATGGTAACATGCATATGGTAAATATATTGCATAAACAATCTTTAGGTAACCTGAGTTTGCAGAACTTCAGTGTTGCTGGATGAGTAACAGGCTTGTAGTAAAAGTACCCCTGGTAAATAGGATAAGTAAGGGTATAAAAAGCTGTTACAAATGTTAGTGAAGTTTGTGGAGAAGGACTTTCAGAGGTGTTCCCCTTAGATAGCTAACTCCACAGTGCATTATCTAAATGCAACTGTATGGTTGGAATCACTTTTCTCATTTTGCTGGCAATGTTTAATTATCAACATATGGGTAACTCTGTTTGTTTCTTTCAGGTTGATGTGAAACTGCAGACTCAGCTTTAATTTCTAATGAATGGAACTCTTCTCCACAAATCAAGACAACCAAAAAAGATTAATTTTGCATCCTATTATTGAAAGCGTTTTGTTTAAGACAAAAACGAGAACACTTCTGTTATGTATAGAGCAAGGGACTCTAGTTATTCAAGTTAAATTATTGTATATTCTTTTTATATGCAACTCTATTTCAAATAAAATGTGACAGCATCTATTATTTATCTTCTAGCATATATGTGATCCATGCTATTTATCATGGCACTGCTGCCAAAAACTCGGGGAGTTGTACTGAGCTGCTGCCTAGCAAGGCGTGTGTGTATAACATGGTGTGCTGTGCCTTGGTGTTCAACACTTCACTAACCTGATTGTACAGTATGTTTAAAAAAAAAAACAAACAAACACAGAAAACAACCTCTTAACTATTGTATCATTTGTGAATTTAAGCAAAATTAAAAAAAAGTATTTTTAGATACACTTGGAATGAGAAACTGATTTATTTATTATTATTTTTTTCATTTTGGATGCACTTACAGAAGCTTTTGGCAGTAACCCAGCATCACTGCAAATTAGATGGTCCAGTCGTCTCTTACAGCCTTATTTGCTGTAGATGTAGGCTTTGAGGCAAGTGGTCCAAACTGGGAGAAGAGCAGCCTTAGAGCATGCATTCAGAAACCAGTAAGTGAGTGGGGTACTGCTTACTGAGACTTGTGTTAAAAACAAAAAGTCACACTTCTGTCTAAAAAAAGGAGTCCAGAGGCAACGTTTATCATGTGTGAGTTAAGACAATGTTTTCCTACGGGCTGTAGTTGGGCTGAAACAGCCTAACGTACCTTGTGCGTTTAAGGTTACAAAGGTAAATTAGAAAGGAATTTTGAAAGGTGCTCCGGAAATATCCATTTCTTTTAAGCAAGCCTGAGCCTAAGTCTACTTAGGGATCAGGGACAAATAATTAGAGTAAGTGGAGAAGAGGGTAGCTGGAAGCAATCCATGGCTCTTTGAATGATGCTGCCAGCTCCCTCCACAAAGCTGCTGCTTTTTCAGTTTAGTAGCTGAGTCAGATGTTCGTTTAGACACAAATTTCGTGCTCTACAGTTGGACTCCAAACTCACTGTGTAAAGTAGGTATTTAAGCCCCTCATCATATCTCTGTCTGTCTTTGCTGCAGGTGTAATAGGAAAAAAGAGGAGCGAGGTCAACCAGGTGTAGATAAAGCCAGTAAGGCTGCCCAGTGTTGATGCTTCTTCTGTAGCTCATTCACGGCCGTGGCTTTACTCCTTGAGGGACATTTCAGCTATAAGTAAGTCAGTGTACAAAGCAGACCTTGTAGGTATAACTTGTGGAAGATATAAGCCAATTTAGGGGGGAAAGTTCTAGTGTTTGAGTGGGTAAGGAAGGGTGCAGAGTGAGTGGCCTCTTCGTAGGTCAGCTGAGAAATCTGTTAATATGAGACAGTTTAGCACTTTTTTTTTTCTCCTGTGTACTTCTGAAGTAGCTTAGATTTACTACATCTGTATTTACTACAACTGCATGACTATGCCCTGCCCTGCGTGACCCTGCTTGGGTCATGTGTGGAAGACCCAATTTTGCAGTCATGAAGCATTTTTTTCTCTAGATTTCAGATATTTTTTCTCTTTTTATTTTTTCTTTGTACAAAACGTGGATGATGTGCTGAGGTCACCTGATCACAACAATACTCCTTTCCATGTCACTGTAGAGCCTTGGAACAAAGGTGGCAGGTGGTTTTTTGGTCCCTATTATAGCACCCAGCTTAATCTGCTCCAAAATAAAATGCCTAAGCCTAGTTACAGGGATGAGTGCATGTAAGTCAGTGATGCATTTTCAGTAAGAAGCCAGGTAAAGTTCATGGTCTCCTTCTGGCCTGAAAACAGACACTCAAGCACTTTATTGTTTCAGTTTACAGCTGAGAGACATCTGAGGTTCCTTCATGTATAGTTTCCAACCCCTTTAAAAAATCAGATCTTTTTTTCACAAACTCACTATTTTCTTTCCTGTCAGCCAAAGGGATTTCCTCATTTCCTCAGACTAATGTTCTACATCAAGTCACAGACCTAACGTAGGCAAGACATTCTAGTAGTGATTTTGGTTCTTACATTGTTCTGGTTGGAGAAAAGTTGGATCAAACTTTTGTTGTGCTTTTTTTTTCCTTCTTTTTCTTTTTCTTCAGGAATAAATGGTTTCACATCTCGAGATCTATGCCTGTTGTATCTTCAGTTGTCTCATTAATTTCTCCATCTGCACTCTCAGCAATACTCTCAACAAATAAATAGAGAATCATACAACTGTTAAAGTTGGAAAGACCATTAAGATCATTCAGTGCAACTATTTAACCCATGCCTCTGACCATGTCTACTATTTTGGAATTAGAGTTTAGTAAAGGAAAATATGTTTTCTATTGTAATTACTTTCCCATTTTAATTGCATTACTGATAGCTGGTGGCAAATATAATGTTGGTGAAGTACGTGGGAGTGATATCAAACCCAAGTTATTCAGTATTCAGTCAGCCAAGACAATATGAGTTAGCCATGCACAGGTCTTTGTATTGTTTATGAGGCAGTATCATCATGCTTATAGACTGGTTCTGATGTTCTTAGATATTTGTCAGTATGCACTTTTCTTGACAAACCTGTTTCTTTTTTATTCTGTGTGCAAGCAAAGTCTTTGGGGTGGGGCTTTGCAAGTAAAGTTGAAGGGGGAAGAAATTTATGAGAAAGAATTGTCTGAGGGTAATTTCTTGAAAACTGTCTTCCCATCACTGTAGATTTTTGGGGGTTTTATTTTGCAGAATTTGTAGGTTTTTTTGGTTTTTTGTTTTTTTCTTTTTTAAGAGTACAGATACAGACATAAGCATGCTATGAGCCTAAGGCAGATTATGAGTTCCACCTGGTCTTCTTCCCCAGCTGATGGGAAGTAGAAAGGCACCATCTTGTGGCCAGCAAATAAGCACAGCGAGGACCTACAGAAGACCTCTCGTCTGAAATACACACATGCTCCTGCTTTTGTCCTGCTGGTGAGTGCAGCTTCCAGTGGGATGTGGGCCAGGTGAGCAGGGGTGGCCTTGGGCTGGTGCCATGGAGCATCCCACATGCCCACCTCCCAGAGCCTTGTGGGAGAGGGGACAGCAGGAGGGTGTTGTAGCCTGCCTGGGTATCACAGGTCCCCAGGGCCTTTTTCCAGGGCC